CCACAGAGAGCATAAACGTCTTGAATGTCTCACTTAAACTTGTCTTTGTTTCAAGGTCAAACAGCAACTAGCTTGTGTGTCTACCAGGACAGTTTTTAGGCTCAGCACTACTGGCTGGGCTAATGTAACACTAGCCACTCCAAAAGTCTCAACAGCAGAGGGCAAGAGGGTGAGAAGGATTTAGCCTGCTGTGTTTAGAAAATATAAGAGGACAGATATCAGCAGAGCAACTGAAGATAAAGTATTTTAAGTCATGACACTTGAACTGTTTGTTTTTACTCTTTAGTGTGACTTACTCTGTCAGGCTGGATTTGAAATACAGCAGGATAATTACATCCATCAGTGATTGTATTTGGTTTTCTAAAAATTAATGCTTCAATGTTTGGAGACCTGCAGGAGGTCGATTTAGGGCTGGAATATTTCACCACCAAACGTGGCAAAGATGGCAGCTCTCACAACCAAACTCAGCACCGAGAGCACATTTTTTCATTTAAAGCCTCATACAGCAATACTGTGGATCACAGTCAGTAGGCAAACCTGCTGATTAGATATTGAAGAAGTATTATAAACTGCTAGTGATCGTGTAGTTTCATGCAGCGCAGGTCAGTGATGGTAAAGATGGTTGTTCCCTGTTTTTTACCACAGAGCTGGCTCACAGTGCCAAAGGTCCATTCTATATAACATCAATCATCTTTTGAGTTTTGTCCAGCTTTTAAAAGATGGTTATGTTAGAATAAATGTACCTATACAAGCAGTTATGTCTGCTGTACTACTGAAAGGCTCTCTTGTGGACTTTATCAAGCCTGTTTGTTTTGGTTTTTAAATAAATAAATGACCAGCAGCCCTCCTCTCCTCTATAAGCAGCAGACTTTTATGTTGCACTGAGAATTTATTGAACTGCCTTTAAGCGTTTCTCTCGTCATCCCCTGCTCTTCATAACATTTCTCTTCTTGCCTCCGCTGTTGTCTTAGCGCCTGTGAGTCCTGCTGCAGGTGGAGTCAAAACCTACCCGCTCCAGATCTTGTCGGAGGTGTGTGAAGAGCTGCAGGCGGCGCAGCAGCACCTCCTGCTCGCGCCGTGCCAGGCTCTCCTCTTCGTCTTTTTTGGGCGTGAGAAGCGGCTGGTTGAAGTTGGCTTTGCGTTTCAGTTTCCAGTACTGATAGAGAAAGTCCACCACCTCAGGCACCAGCTTCAAGTTAGTAGTTACCTCCTCCACGTCTACAAACTGGTAGAACTCTTCCTCCATCTCTTGCAGCTTCAGTTTGCGGAGGTTGACTCTCTTCTCTTCCTTGCTGAGTGCCTCTGGGTTGGTCAGTGCTCTATCGATGAGCTGAGGGGCCACACAGGAAGATGAAGAGGGGGAGGCAGCATCTTCCTCCTCTAACACCTTCACTCTCCTCCTGCCCTTCTTGTCTCTGGCACTCTCCTTCTCCTCGTCACCCGAGTCGCGGTCCCTGGACTCGTCCCCCTCAAGCCCAGAATGTTTGGGGCAGTAAGACTTGAACTTGACCTCATCATCATCTGTGAGGATAGTGTTCATTTCAAGGTTGGCGTGGAGGCCGCATGTCACGTGGAAGGCAGTCCGGCAATTTTTTGCTGAACACTAAAGAAACAAACAGAAAAATGTTTACTAAAATTAGTTTTTTTGTCCCCCTATTCCTACAGGAAATATAATATATAATTAAATAAAAACAAACAAAAAAAACTTATTACTTAAAAATGCCAAAACTGAAATGCTGTCAAAGATGTCAAATTCACCAAAGCACAGCCTGAGACACAAACCAAAAAGAATCTCTAGCATCAGAAACATTAAATTTCTTCTCTAGTTCTTCTTTAAACCTGCAATTCTGTATTTTGCCATTTGGGGGCAGCAAAAACAACATACAGGTATTTAATTGATCAAAATAAACCAATCAAATACCAAAGTAACACTCCAGCCCTCTACTTGCTGTGACTCAGGCTCTCATACAAACCCACTTCAAGGAAACAGAAGTACCTTCAGCTTAATAAGAAGTGAAAACAGTCAAACATATCAAAATGTCATGAATGACATCACTAAGGTTTCTGAAAATTGTATCAGAAAGAATTTTGATGATCGTGCTATCTCACAGTGCGATGTACTTTCAGCTGCCCTCGTATTTCCTAAGGGGTTGCCACAGCGGGTGGGTCCGCATATTTGATTTGGCACAGTTTTTAGGGCGGATGCCCATCCACACAGCGCTGATATCTCACACTACCAACACATATATCACGCACCAACATTCAGCCTAAATATACACAGAGATCATTTCTTTCTCCATATCACTCAGTCCAGATCTGCTGTGTGTCAAATTGTCTTCCTGTCTTACTTTTATGTTGTTACTGTTGTGAATTTAACATGTTTAACACAAAATCTAAAACCACACACTAAAACATTTCACTGCTGGGTGATCTGCTGTGCCTTTACTCCTCCACCCTGCTGAGGTGTGAAGTCACTGCCTTGATTTCCAGTACATGTAAACTGAAGAACACTGACGCATCCTTTCACCCGGTGTGGATCAATAATGCCCACACTGTGGAAATCTCCTCCCGTAGTCTGAGTTACTGGCATGTGCTGGATGAGCTTTTCACATTAAAAGAACCGTGCAACGTTAATAACCTGAATGCATGCGCCAGTCTTCTCTTTGCAGAGGCAGCAGATCAGAGCCCATCTGTTGCTGGGAATATGGGACACATTGGTGATCGGCTCCATCTTCTCTGGATTCCCAATGCTCACCTGCACAGAGGATTTAACACACAAAGAGGACACGAGTTGCTTAAACGTCAGCGGACATGGTGTTGACAAATGCAAGTACATGCAGAGTGGTCTTAGACACAGTGTCACTGCCATGTGTGTCAAAATGGTTACCAACATTTTAAACAAGTGGGATCAAAACCTCCGACTCTTAAAAAGACAAGCAGCTGTCAGGAGCAGCCAATCAGAAGAAGAGTGGAGGCTACTAGATCCCACAATGACAATTTGATTAAAAAACAGAAATTGTGACTGATCTTCACCTCTGGAATCCACAAGGCACAGCTGACGTGGACCCACTTAGTTCCACTTCGGGTGGGCTTCATGGCTCCGCCCTTTTTGGGACACAACTGGCACTTTGGCAGGATGCCGAGGGCACAGATCCGACACAACCAGCTGCCCTTAGGGACTTTCTGGATGCCGTAACACGCCTGAAAAGAAACCCAAACAGCGGCTCAGTTTCCAGAAAGCAAGCAGAAATGACGACGCAGACAGGAAGTAGGTGTGTCACTTGAAAAGCAAACCTAAAATGTAAGACAAGTCGCTTTTTTTTGCCTCAGTGAGACGAATCTCTAAAGTCTTGCAACTTTCTTTTTTCTTTGAACAAGTTAACAAAATCCATCTTTTTCCCCTACAGGAAACATTAAAACGGGAAGAATTTTATTTTGAGTCCTTTCATGTACAAAAAGCTAAATAACTGTGTTGACGTTAGCGATACGCAGCCAGTTTATTCAATGGGAGTGACTTCATATATTTTTACTAGACAGGGAAAAGCTTAAAACTGACAAAAGAAAACAGATTTGACTTCATATCACACATGAACAGATTTAGAACAATATTCTGTGGCTGATGACAGATCTGTCCTCTGTCTGCTGTGTTTTTTTCTCATTTTAAAGGGAGATGATCGCTGACCTGGTGAACGCAGATGTTGCACTTGTCACAGAACACCATCTCGTTGTTGTCCTCCCCGTCAGGTGACTGGCAAACATCGCACACCACATCCTCGTCATACTCGATGCCTAACCCCTCCTCGGTCTCCATGGCGTGCGTCATGTTTTCGTGGCAGCAGCGCTCAAACTCTTCCATCACGCGCTCCATGGTGATTTCATCCAGTGGCGGGATAGCTGGGGAAAAAATATACATGAATAAAGATGTCCCGATCTATTATAAAGTTACCTTATTTGTTGATGCTCTCTTACACTTTTGGTTAGACAAAAGTGATAAAAAATTAATCTGCCTCCTGCTGGAGAGTCTGGGTTTTATCATCTTCAATTTCACTACAATTTAAGCATCAATATTTCTCTGTGGGCTGAGTAAATGCCCTTTTTGTTTGGCTTTTAATTTGTAATTACACCCTACATTTTCCATCCATCTAAAAGCAGACAGACGACACAAAGTGCTCAATAACACATACAACACTGAGAGTTATCAAAAAGAAACAGGAAACAGCAGTGCAGTAACACAAGAAACCTAAAATAAAGCCGGACTCTTTACTCAAAATACAAACTGGACCCAAAAACCAAGTCTGTATATAAACACAGCTTGCAGCTGAAGGAGCACAGGAGAAGTTATGAGGGTGTCAAGGACAAGACAGATGAACAGGACAGATTTCACTGGCTCTCTGCGTCTCTCAGCTCACGCTCCTTGTGAAGAAAATAGCTTTGTGACTTCAAACCTGTACTGCACGTCTGTTTATACAACAAGGATTTATAACAAATACATACATAATAATAGTAATCTTTCAATGAACTTCACTGAATACTGATGGCAAACAAGCAGGCTGACAGAGTGTAAAGCTTGATGTCAACATCTCAGACCTTGCAGCTGTGGACACAGCTTTAAAACGCTTTCATCTGCTCTGTTTCATTTCATCTGATACATTTGATACAAGAAAAAAACAAAAACAAAACTATATTCAGTTCCTGGGCCTAAAAATAACTTACAGATTTAATCATCAAACAAGCAGCTACAGAACAAATATGTACTCAGTGACTCACCCATCTCTGTAAACTCTTCATTTATGACCTGCAGCCAGGCCACGTCTTCCTCGTTCAGGTCGTAGCGACACATCCCCTCCGCCAGCGTGCGGATGTCCACGTAGCCGAGCGCTTCTGTGCCTGATGTCCGGATCAACTTCTTTGGCCTACCAAACATTGTCTCCTTTCCTTTCTCGGACAGCACCCTGCACAACCGAGAACTTCACATTCACTATCGTGCACATGCACATGTTTAATCGAACTATACATTATTAACCAACAACTGGTGGTCTAACATGTACGGCAGGCTTTACAGTAGCTCCTAGCCTACCCAAAAACACCTCTGGACTTTTTAAGGCATTGAAGGACTTTTCTTTTCAATGACACTTTCAAAAAGGATGTGATTTCCTGAAATGCACTTAAACAGCCCTCAAATTTATAAAACATGTAATATTTACAATTCTGATACTGATGAACAGTAGACAGGATGGTAAAAGTCAGATTATCTTTCATGGTCATACAAATGAATGGAAACACTGTTATTAAATTAGTAACACTGTAACATTTCTCTGCTGTAATTTTGTTAGAAGGGTATTTCCTGCACGGCGTCCCCTCAAAGAGGCTTTAACCAGAAACTCACCAGCATTCTAAAAATGTTTTGTTAATAAGGGTTTCGTTTACTCATATTTTCTTGAAATGCATCAATGTCTGTTAGGCAGGATGATACAGTCTCACTGCCCTTTATCATACACAGACTGTGTTTGCTCACTGACATCCCCTAAAGGCAAATTCTGAACCACGAAAACCCTTCAGCACTCAGTGGTCAACAGATAAAACAATACAGGTTTCCAAGGTGATATTTTAGCACCATCAGCTTGATATTTAGATCTACCTCTACACAGGCTGTGCTAAATCACTTGGAGCCTCAGCTCGACTCGACTCGGTTTCGGACGTTTTCCGTTACAGCCGAGTACCACCTAATGCTGGGTTGTTATAGCAACGTGGTCTCGTGACTTCATTGTACGTCACACAAACACCACAGCAATGGAGAACGTCAAGGCGATGGCATACCTGCTGCTCGGTGTATAGCTTTTTGTCACTCTGGGACCACTGTGGTTTTTTTGTGTAGCCATTTCATTTGTTGCTCGGTTTCAAAAATGGCAGTTTTGATTTTCGTAAAGGCGTGCTCTCATGACTCATTGAGTTACGCCACTGACTAGCCAGTTGACATCACGTTTTTGCACTGCTCAGAAGCCCAGTCGAGTAGGTATTTAAAACATTTTTTTTTTTAAGTACCCGGTTTCAGGTTCTACCACCTAATCGAAACCATAAAAACCGAGGCAAGTCGAGCCAACCCAAGTGGGTACAAGTGGGAAAGGGCTACAAGTGTCAAAGACTCCGTCAGCTACGCTGCCTCTTATTCACTGAAGTGAACTATGAGTGAGATTGAATGTGTTACTTTTATTTCCTACCTCACAACAGGCTGTGGGATGGAGTGGGGGCTGACGGGGACCTGGACGCCCTTCTCCCACTCCTGCCTCCATGGGTCAGCTAGGACGTAGTAGTCCTCGGTGTTCAGCTGATATGAGTCGTGCACTTTCATGGCCGTGATCAGGTCCGTCCTGAAAACCTGCAGCACATAACATGAACATTACTAAGTGTATAATGAGATTTCAGAGAAAACTGCTGCAAAACAAAGCTCGTCTCTGCAACGGCGTCAAGAACTTCAATCAGCTTAAAGAAAGAAAGCTGAAGGTTCGCTAAATTACATTTTTGCAAAGCAACTGATAAATAAATATAGAATGTATGAAAACGTATATCACTGTTTGAACAGGTTAAAAAAAAAAAGAAAGGGAAAAATAATCGACCACATTGACCCTCACAGCTAAAGACAGCAAATTAGGATCCTGCATTGGCCCAAGTCATTGTTTTGCTTTAATTTGATTGGCTCTCTAGTGAAAGGGAGGACACAGTGGACTGCAGGGACCAAGTCCACAGACTGTACAGTAGATAACAGCAAGCGTGCTTTCATCTCAAGGACACACTATCGAGTGTGGGTCCAAGATAGCACGTCTTTTCTTACATGTATAAACAACCACATAAACATTTATTTTACAGATGTGCTGCCAGCTGGTCCTTTCATTTTCACATTCATTTGTCAGCCACATATACACGTCTTTAGTTAAAATATAAAGTCTCAGAGTACAAGACTGACAAAAAAGAAGGGCCATTAATTATAATCTACACATTTCAAGTTTTACAGCAACCTTTTAAAAACCACAATAAATAGTTTGAGACCAAACGCGTACCTCAGAGGGTTTCTGCCCAGTCCACCTCCTGTGCTGCGATGAATGCTGGGACCAGCAGGTGGAATTACCTGAAACAGAAATGCCACAAACTGTTGTACAGACCCACATTTCTTCTTTGAGCATCAGCCCAAGTCTGCTGATTTTCTAATAAACAACTTCACACCATTAAATACGTCTGGATTTCCCCCAATGAGGGGAAACTTGAGAGAAACGCAAGCGTGGCTCATTTGGATAGTCAAACTGGGGCAACTGACAGTTTCTGTTTTCAATTTCATTTTATCAGCTAGAGTTGCCAATTTGACTTTGGGCCAGGTATAAAATTGATGACAAAAAGAAGAATCAAAATGGGGTTTTTTTTTGTTCTGATTTTTTAATCAAGTGCAAGAACCACAATAAAAAGTGCTTGATCAGTGTGGTGTGCTTTATGGCATTAAATATTAAACTTGTCTGTCTCATAAAACCCTAAAACAGACCAGGCTAAAAGCAATTTCCAGTAAGCGCTTGGGGCTTGTTTTTATAACAGATGGCAAAATGATACGAATGCTCAGTCATAATGAAGCTTTGCTTTCTGTAATTTACAGCTCCGGGCAGCATTTTAAACAATGTGGTAAAAGTCTGACCTCTGAGGGAAACCAACAACTGCAAGCTGTTCCCAGATTTGAGACCATCTGCCTGACCTGCCAGGATGTCTTTAAAGGTCCAAACATGCCTCCTGTCCCTACTCTGTCTCCTGTTTCTCGGACTACGGGACTTCTTTTGCTTTTCCTTTGTGTTTTTCCATCTACTGCACTTGTTTCTCTTTCTTTTCTTCTTTCCTGAACATGGAAGTACAGACTTACTCACACTGACACCAACGACATTAGAGATACATTTTCAAGTCTAACTGCAAAGCAAAAGTGTCATGGTTATCAAGGAAGCTGTCAAAAGACTTTACTTTTACTTCTAAAAATAGCCAAACTTCATGAAGTCATTCACTTTGTCTGAACTTATCTCGGTGCTTGGCACTTGTGCTGGCAGGGTTGTGCCAGCCCTTGTTCCCATCTATATGTGGACTTGGTATGAATGAGTCAGCAGAGACAATATTTTTGCTTACTTCCATTGTCCGAGTCATCGCTGCTGCTGGGGTGTCTGCTTCTCTTCATTGTCACCTGTCTGCGGAGCTCCGGCATAAGGGCACTTCACAAACAAGAAATGAGGTGGAGATACAGAATGGGAGGATGAAAAGGTACACGATAAACAACTGGAAAAGATTTGGTAGTAAGATGAATAGGCTGCCTTAAAAACCCTCACACAAAGAAAGACGAGTCAGTTAGTAAATGCTACTTGTGGTTAGTGGCTTTGCACAATGCTGTAACCAAATCATCCTCAGTAACACCATTACCAAAAGCAAACATGTTGACCAAAAATATTCTTCTGGGTATTATCAATTAGCTGCAATTCACTGCAGCTAAACACGGTGGTATGATGTATTGATTATGCAAAATCTGGGAAAACGATCATGTTGTGGTGAAATATGTTCCCAACAGTAGTGGGGGGGAGAAAAAGTGGATCAATCAATATTTACGTCACCGCCATGCTAGTGCTAAATTATCACTTCTACCATATGAGAACGAAGCACAACAACAGTCCAATAAGTTGTCACTATCCCACCGGTTTCCGTCCTGATCAGCCAGCCAGGCTGTGTAAACACACACGCACCAGTCACTGCTCGAGAAGAAGTTACCGCATGCTGCACTGACAGGAAGCAACACTGTTATAAGA